AAGCAGCACTGTGGACCCTTCACTTTTCTGATGGAGGATCCACAGTGCACCTTTAATCAAGATTTGTACCGGCACATTTTAGCAGATTTCTGACAGATTGCCATGCATGACATCATCTGAAGATAATCAAGGATAATTTGAAAAAGTATAAATATATATATTTTTAAAATATCACCCACTTTTATCTATAAATACACAATTTTACAGCCAGTATCTTCAATTGACCTGCACTTCAAGTCACTTCTAGCTTCACCATGCCCAAAGAGGGAAATTATAAACAACCTATGCCAAATTGTGTTCTCCCAATCGCTCATCAACGGCACAGCTGTACAGATTCAAATGCCAAGATCCAGACCTGCCCACTCTCTTTGTGAGGGCCATCGCTATGAATACAAGTCACTTTGAGCACTGTGGGATTTCCATGTCAGAACGCTCGTCTCTCTGATAGAAGACCTCACAGCATCTCCCCGGGGTCAGTCATCAGTTAGGACGGTCCAGAGCTGAGGAGACAGGGCTGACCAGGGCTGCCAACAGGTCCTGCTCCCTGGACACAGCTGGGGTAATAGATCATGTCCACACCTCGCTAACACTGTCCAACTGGGGATTACTGCCCCAGAGCACACTATAGACAAGGAATTATGGGCCTAGGAATACAGACTAGTGTTTTTGGCCTACAAGAGAGCTTTTGTTTTTGTTTTTTTGTTTTTTGTGAACTTTCTCTGAAAGATGTGCTCTGCAATGAGTTTTGGATCAGATCAATGTTAAGATGAAGTTATGAATATTTTGTTATTTGAAGTTTGTTTTTCAGATCATAGTTTTTTAGTACTTTTTTTTTTTTTCCCCAAAATCACAACTGCAGCAATCACATGATGTTGCTGCAGTCTTGTCAGTTGATTTAATCTTGATTTGAACTGTTTTTGGTGCTCCCTTCTTACTAGGACAGGCAGGACGCCATCTACAATACTATTTTTTTATTCTAGATACTATTGGCTCCCTAACAAACACAAACCCAAGATCAGAAGACCAACTTAACCTTGTATCCGTACATAATGTATCTGTAGGCCTATAAGGAAGAAAAGCTATGGTCCTAAACTTATTTTATGCCTGTTAAAGTAGGGAAGTTTAAAGAAAAATTATATGTCATATTTTGTTTCAATATGGGTAACAAATACATTTTTTATTAGAATATGTTATGAGTTTTCCTCGTAGCGCATCCTCCATCTCTGCTCTAGCTCTTCCTGTCTTGTGAGAGGACTTTAAAGGGTCAGATTTGACTTTAGTGCGGTTGTCTTTTCTGTTTTCAGTCGTCAGAGGCCCGGGCATTTGGCTCGTGGTTTGTAGTCCACCCACAGAGCAGCTGCAGCTCCTGCCACACTCTGCCAACACGCTGGGTAAAGACACACAGCACAGAGCACAGCCCAGTGTTGGTCATTAATAACACTAAATATGGTCAACAGTGCAGCCTCCTCACTCACTCTATACTGTCAATATTATCTGTGCTAAAGCTGTACGTTTTAGAAAATGCGTTTTTATGAAAGAACCCACAAGGACAAATACGAGAACGGAATTATTAACATTGAAATGTTAATAGTGTAATTATATTTAGACAAGCAAATTATATTTTGCTTTATATGCTACAATATATCATTTGTTTAGAGGTGTATACTGTATGGGGAAATGTAGGAGTTGTGAATGTTTTTGGTAAATGGTACATATACATTATATTTCCAAATGGAATGGATAGATCCACAATTGTTTGTATGTAAAATATCTGATTATAATACAAAAAGTCTTTAAATATAGTTTTAGACAATCATACAAATTGTAAGTTGCAAAAAAAAGAAGAAAAAAACATGTTAGGAAAATTAAAATTTTTATGCTATATTGAGGGCACTCACTCACTTGGCCTGCATCATCAGATGTATAATACTCCCTACAACAGAAGCTTAGCTAGACTGGACTGCACTACACAGGAATGGATAGTGAACAACACCATCACTATGTGTCTTGAGGGCTCATGTCTCCAGGTGCTGATGCTAAAAAAATTTCTGCTTTAGAACTCCAGCCTCATGCTTCTTCTCTTCAACTCTCAGGCTAGTACAATTTATTCTACAATGATAACCTTCAAAACAGCTTTTGCGAATGATAAACCAGTTGCCACTATTCCCTCTTAAACAGAAGCAATCACAGTCCATCTTCAACAACACTCTCCCAAAAGCACAAGTTTGTATTTCAACACACTTCTTTTCATCACTGAGACTCGGCTGCAGTCACAGAGAGCTGATAGATCTTGTAACATTAGCCTTTCACCGTGCGGCTCGTGGGCCGATGGTGGGCTGATGGTGTTCCTGCAGATTTGAGGAGGACACCAGTGGATGAGGTGGTCCATGTCACAGATGAGAGTCCATTGCACTGATTGAAGGACTTAAATTTTAGGTCCTCAACAGAATAACAGTACAATCAAAAGTGAAACACAGCTTATTGAGACCTGAAGAGGCATAGAAACACACTGATTTAGCTTTTGATGATATTATTATATCAAATACTGGCAATGATGATGATGCTGATAAACTTGACCAATATATTTTAGTTTCATTTGAAAAAAAATTAAGAAATAATATCTATAAATGTATGCAGTGGCTAAAACAGTCTACTGGTCCTTTCTATTTTATACCTGGGTAGCATTGCAGAATCTTATCTCTTAACTATGGCCTTCAGGTTACATCAATAATTCCATCAATGAGTCCATTCAAATCAAGACCTACACTTAACCTTAAGAAATGTGTTTACCTTCTCCAAATAGTCTGACATTCGGCCTTTTCTGAAATGTGTTGGAATATTAAATCAGAGCTGGTGATTGGCCATTATTCCCCAATTTCATCAGGATTTTTCTTCCTTCCCGCTCCATATTTTTCCACACAATATGACCATTTATGCCTGCATATACATGGGTCATTTTAACCCTCGAAGCAAATCAAAGGATATTGTCATAGCTCCGCTGAGGTCAGGCTGCCCTGGCCCGCTTATAGGCAACTTCTAAAAAGGTTTTCTAAAAATACTACCATTGTGCAAAAATCTGACCACGTCTGACCGCCTATTTGTAACTACAAAATCATGTAGTAACATTTGAAATATAGCGATTTCTTTTTTTCCCCCCTCACTATTTGTCCAAAAACTCTTTGTGTGTTGGGATGTTGCTGCTGCTGCAGAACTGTCAATCATCGGGGGAGGTGGGCTCAGAGCCGCGGCTGGTGGACTGAGCTGAGAAGGCGACTGGCACAAAAGAGGAATACTGAGACAAAACTTATTATTGGTATTTGGATCAATAACATTAACAAAAACATAACATAGCTGAGATTTGTATTACAATATTTCTATATTTTATTTCTACTTGTACATATACATTTATATAATTACACCTTATTTGACACCAGTCTCTTGCTATTTATTTTTTATTTATTATTAACACTTATATTGTTGCTCTTTGTTATGTTATATTATATTGTGATGTGTGAGCTGTCCAAATCATTTCCCTTGTGAATCAGTACAGTTAAGTTTAAGTCTAAGTAAGAACTAAACAACCACTTAAATAGGAACATGATGATCTAAAATGTTTAAGTTCTATGTGTTATAAAGGGCTATGCAAAAATACACCAAAATACAGTTGAAATGCACATTGTTAATTAAACTGAAAATAAAAACAGATAACAATTAATTATCTTTACATTGCCTTTAAAAAGATAACCAGTGCAACCTGCTTCTTCAGACCTCGCTTACTAAATATATGTCAGTTATACAAGTGCAAAGATGCAACAGTGATTAACATGACATAAATCTATTACATAAGGGTGAGTTGTTGCGTAGTTGTATGGAATATGGTATGAATGTAGTCCTCTCACTGTTTGAGCAGAGCACGATGGGGGCTGGCCAATATGAATGGATGCAAGAAGTCGTTCTTGAGCATAGAGAAGCACTGAATCACCTGTCACTGAAATAGCCGATAATCACAGATATCAGATCACTCACCATTTGATTTTTATCATCGTATCACAAAGCCCTACTTGAGGCGCTTTGTTTCTGGACTGTTGCAGCTGCAGATGGAGAGCATTAAACACCAGTCATTTGGACATGGCTCAGGACAGTGGGAGCCAACATATGCAGGACCTAAAATGGTGTGATCAGTGGGCCATTTGTGGATGACTTGTGGACACCTGTACTTTTGGTAACTCTGAGCTGGAAGATTTTTGCCAATCGTGCGACGGTAATGAGGCTGTTCAGCTGTTCACATCACAGAGCAGGTGTGGCTCCATGGGCACACTGTACAAATGCATTGAGAATAATCATAGACTGCATAGAGGCTGATTGAAGCCTGAAATGCGTTTTAACATTTTGGGCGGTGAGTCTGAGTTTGCTGTAGGTGAGACAGAACAAGAATATAGCGTTTATTCTCACTTTGTTCAAGACAGCTCTATGAGACAAGCAGACTGACAAGAAAATAACACTGCGCTGCTGAGCTGGTTTCTCTTTTTTTTTTTTTTTTTTTTTTCTTCACAGAAATCAGCATGAAATTGTTGTTGTTGATCAGTGGTTTTCAATATTTGGTCCCACTGCTGGTATTTAGGTTTGCACTCGATCTATTTTTACGCCACTGATCATTTTGTTGCTGTGTTGTATTACTGATATACTGTCGGTTATTATGATATTACACTGTATATGTGTGCATTTTGATTTTGATATGTGTCATTTTTCCTGTTTTTTTCTTACCCTTGCATTGATTGTGGTGTTCACTGCTCTGGTCTTTAATTGGAACTAACATGGTTTATGCTTATATTCTTATAGCAGTTGAAATTATGATTGCACATAGGCCCTGCAAAACAATCCACTGACATTTTTACTCTCTTTGGCCTCTCCCTTGCTCTCTCCCTCTATTCTTCTTCTTTTTCTCTGTCTCTGTTCTTCCCCCTCTCTCTCCTCCTCCCTATCCCTCTCTCTGTCTGAAGGAGCCAAGGTGGTGAATCCTATGGGGAAGACGTTCACGGTGCAGAGCTTTCTGCAGCTGCAGGTGGACAGAAACGATGATGGAGTGGCCTACACCTGCCGCGTGGACCACGTGGCCCTGTCCCAGACGCCGCAGCAGGCCACCGAGGTGCTGGAGGTCCACTGTGAGTGCACACGTGTGTGGCAGTCGCATCAACCACAGGCCAGGCTATATAAGGCTTTTGTTACTCTAATTACATCTAATATGATAATATTTAGGCTTTATTTTAAGTTCAAAGTGAAAGGGTTCATTATTGTTAGTATTAGTCTTTTGATGAGAACATAAATTAGAAAACAAAGAGAACATAACAATAACCTTATCTTAAACAGTGGCACTAATCAAAATTTGAGTATAGTTACAAACGACCTTCTTCTTAAATACAACACCATAAATACAATAAAGCATGTGCAGTAAAAATAAATTAAACAAACAAAAAATTGTGTAAAATTAGACAGAACAGCCTATTATACCAATATGAAGAGAACATTTTGTCTCTTGAATGTGCTGAAAACAGGAACAAAAAAAAGACATAATATTTGCATACAAACTTGAAACAGTTATGTAGTTTATATAAAAGACAGTCTCAAATAGACTCAGTGTTGACTTCCCTCTCCGCAGATGCCCCTCGTGTGGAGATTAACCCCCTCCATTCTGTGCCACTGGAGGGTCAGTACCTCAGACTGGAGTGTGTATCCAAAGGCAACCCTTCGTGAGTCCCCACATCAACACTTTTTTATATTATACCATCTCCTCCTCTCACATCCCCTGTATGACTGTGACTGTGTGCCCTCAGACCTGACCCTGTGATGTGGACTAAGGATGGGGGCGAGTTGCCTGACTTGGAGCGTATGATTGTGGAGGGGCGTGACCTCACCTTCACCTCTCTGAACAAGACGGACAACGGGACGTACCGCTGTGAGGCCAGTAACCACCTGGGCACCAGCAGTGCTGAATACAAGCTCTATGTGTACGGTGAGTTCAAACGCACAGGATTATTATGGGATGCTCACACAGGACCTGCAAACTATAAGGCTACCATAAGATATGTAAGTGAAGGCTGATATTGCTGTTTATAAGCCCAATGTCCAGTTGAACACCAGGTTGGTTTTTACTTTATTGTTTTTAATAATTAACAACAAAATATGAAGAGCAAGCCAGCATCTTGTACACATTCTCCAATCATTCATGTATTCATTATTCATTAAGGCCTGTTTCCAGAAGCCAGTCAGTAAGGTACTTCATACTAATGTGTTTTCAATCTGAAAAAAAAACAAAAACATAATTTTATGGTTGTTTAGTTGCAATGTGATTGCAATTCAAATGTTAAGATCTGCTAAATTATAAAATATGTATTTATGTATACTGAAAAATGCACTAATTTTTTTTGCTGAAATCATGTATTATAATATATTTTAGTTGTTGGACAAAGATAATAGAAGACCAATTTATTAGTTTTGTATTAACCAAAATATTTTCTGTTTTCAACTGTGGTCCATATAAACCCCATTGGATTGTTTAGTAGGGCAGGATGCTGTTACATTTGCATACAGAGCTGTGCGTTGAGCGATTAGAGCACCCTATCTCACTGGGGGATAGGGGCCTCAGGTGGCACAAATGTCTCCAATGGCTTTCTTTAAATAAACCATCGTCCCAGATCCACACATGGATAGGGAACAAACCGGAATTTAGTGCTGCGGTGTTAGGAATATCACAAGGAAGGATAAGTCATTCCCATCCACGACAGAGGAATGGCAGCAAAACGGCCTCTAAGCCATTTTTCTATGGTTATTTAAGGCTCACAAAAATGCATTTATTTTTCAATATTTGGAGAAGGCACAGTATGGGACAAAAATCTTCCACAAATTTATATAGAGCGAAATATATCAACTTTTACCACAAAAATCTGTCCTTTTAGCATGATGATAATAGGTCTCTATTAACTTCAATGTCCAGGTTCAAGTTTTATTTTCAATAGCTTGTGGTCTTGGGAACTTGCGTGTGGATCAATAAAAGATCCCTTTATTAATATTGCATGTGAGTTGGTTGTATTTAAAAGCAACTTTAATCTCTTAAAAAGAAAATAGACTTTGTGTATTTTGCCTTGAGCAGCCTTATTCCTTCTGCACTCCGGCCTGTCCTTGGCTGTACAGATGTGGAGAGGCTGAAGGGAAAAAACAAGGTTAATATGTATAGCTCATGAAGTACTGAGGGCCAGGACAAGTCAAGGGCACAAAGTGGAAACCTCCACTGGCTCCCTTAATAAGTAATGACCCTGTATTTTACCATGGTGAACTGTGGTTTCTGGCTCTTTATAAAAAGAGTCAAACCTGTACCACTCTTGACCATAATCCAAAGTTAAGTGAATTATATAAGTATAGACGAGGGTATTTAGGGGCAATCAGATCCAGTGTGCTCCGGTTATATCCTTATACTACTCAGAAGTGATAAATGTTTAAATCAGACATACCACGAAAAGTCATAACTCTTGTGTTTCTCTACCTTACAAACTTCATTTTCTTAAAAAAACACTATGTACATTTTCTGGTGGAGGGTCTGCCACCTGCTTGTCTCCATGGATATGTTGTTGCTTTATTTGCCTGGAGTGTTCTATAATTTGCCATTAAACATGTCAGTATAGTATTTATTTAATTTCAATTTTTAATTTGAAATTAAATTAATTACTACTGGGAGTGATCGCTTCTCCGCAAATCTAAACTGTCTATGTGAAATATTCCCAGCAAAGCAACAAGTGGCTTACTCTATACCAGAAAAGTGACATAATACACCTTTAAATTTGCTGAAATTTAATGAATGCTCTTGTCCCATGCATCTTAAAGCAGCCCTGCACCTAACAGTCCCTTCAAATGCCATCTGTGCAACAACAAGAATAACCCACATGCTTAATGACAGTGATGCTATTAGACTGACAAATTCTGCAGCTCCACAAAAAGTCATTTGGGTATAGGCGGGTCAGAAAGTCTTAACCAGATTCATTACTCGTTCTTCTCAAATGGCACCATCTCTGTTCCTGCGCTTCATTAGTGATTAGCACGCCTTTTAGCCTTTTGCAATTGCTTCCATAATTCTCAGGAAATACCTTTTTAATGGTACCTCAACAACCAGAAGACGTCCTCTCCCGCTCTCTTCCTCTCACCCTCTCTTCCTCTTTCTCTCTCTCCCTCTCTCCCTCTCTCTCTCAAATACATTCACCGTGCTTCTTGGTGATTCACGCTAAAGCTGAAATGTCACCAAGGCACACAGGACACTCACCCCAGAGAGAGACAGAGGAGCACAGCCAATTAAAAAATGGACAGTAAAAATGTACAAGGACCAAAACATAAAAAGTTAAGCTAGTGTTGTAACCTCATTAACTTTGTCAGACCATGTTTTAAGCCATGAATCCTAATTCATTACATTTTCAGCACTTGAATTGCAACAGTATGGATCAATAGATGGATTGTAGATGTATAAAATTTCAAAGTCATGTTAAAGGAAGTGTCATTACAGGTTTTTAAACAAAAGAAACATATTACACTATTTTCTGATCTATGTTATAATGTTGTATCCTCATCACAAACACACCTGGAGTTGTGTTTTGTTTCATTCACTCATGTTTAAAATGCAAATCCTGTATCTTTAGGCTTTGTTGTTCTCTCAAACTGAAACACTCTAACTTGTGATGTCATGTAGTAATACAGGAAGTGCTCCACTGTGTTTTTAAACTCCATAGTAGAGATTGGCATTTCCATTTGGATAATTTCATGCCTGGAATTGCCCGTCTCTAATGAACAAAAAAGGTAAGGGTAAGTTACAGTAGCTGTTAACTTGAAAACTATCACTGCAGGTGGAAAAGAGTATTTTGAGCTGTGTAGATGTAGACTGTCTAATAATGAAGAATTACTCAAACATGTGTGAATGAGACAAAACACAACTCCAGGTATGTTTTTGATAAGGTAACAACATTATACAGTAACATGGCTTGAAGCTCACAGGTTTGTGTAATCTAGGACCTTTAACATGTCTTCTCTTTAATATCATATTTATAACATGACCATATATCCAAAGTTAGTTATGTAAATGTGAAACACAGTACTATCAGAGTAATAAGTGGACTTAAAATAATATCTGAAATATTTGCTGGAGTAGTTAAAAAAAATAATAATCTTTTTCAAATGCATTACAGTAACACAAAAGAAAATCTTTGATCTTAACATTTGAAAACACATTTGTATGAAACCAGCCTTATTGCTAGCCTAGTGCAGAGTTTTCATTTACATCATTTTTAATTTTTCAGTTTTAACTTGGTGTTTGTATGTTTCATGCATTAGTTTTGTAATATTTCACCATTTTATTTTGCCCTCACGACTGTGTTACCTAACCGCACCCATGTGAATTTGGTTTTGTTGTATTTTTGTATGTGTTTGCCCTCCACCAGACGCACCCACCTCCCCACCTCCACCCACCACTGCCCCCCTCCATCCCTCCACCCCAGAGTCCACTGCTCAGTTAGACAGCCCCGCCTCCGAGCCCTCAGTGACCGGACACAGAGGTACAGTACTGCCCCCTACACTCCTCTGCATGCACTGCGCCCTCTCTTCCTCTCTCCAGTCTCCCTTTCTACTCTCTCTCTCACATGTTTTACCGCCTCCAAGTGCAAATGCTGCTATATTGTGAAATGGTTTGATCACCCGTTGATTCTCCACCTCCACCTTGACTGAAATGTGTTGTGGTAAATTGTATTAATAACATTGTGAAACCTGAGATCCTGAAAGTGTCTCTAAAATACTGGGTCTTTTTTGTCCCCTTGGCATTTCTAACTCTTGTGTACTTGGGTGCCCTCAAAAAAGCAAATATCATGTCCTAATGAAAATGTCTACCCACCAGAGAGTCCTCATTATCTGCTCTGTTGGCACAATGAGTTAGTGTGTGAAATCATAAATTAATTAATGAGTGAATGGGACAAATTTGTAATAGAGCTTGGATTTTTTGTATTCTTTTTAGTCAAATTACAGTGCATGCTCATTTTGTTTTGATGTGGGTAATTGTCCGTAATAGTTTAATTCTTTTGTCAGTGTTTGCAAATTTTGAAAATAAAAATACCGTGGATAGTAGTATAACAAATGAGCGCGTGACTGGAGAGCAAAACCTTTCCAGGGAATGTATCCAAGTAACTGTAATGACTCATTTAGTTCAACTTTAATGAAGAGAATTTTGGGCGCAAACAACTATAGTGTTTTTTTCTCACCTTTAAGATAAACAAGGTTATTTTTCTGATGTGGCAGTTGATGGCTGTTCACTCCAATGTCAAGATGTGGAAATGGTATTGCTAGTAGAAAGGTCTGTGAAAAGAAAGAACCTAGTGTATTTTTTTACATTTTATGCATCAAAACACTTAAGGAGAGTGCTGTATGCTCAAATTGCCTGTTTAAGCTTATCAAAAACTTTTCTTCTTTCGTTTTTATTACCACCATGGTAACCTGTGCCATCAAACATGTTTTTTTTTTCTCTCTCCTCTCATCTCAGCCTCTGTTCCAGTCCAGTCAGTATAATTCCCTCTCATCATGGCTCCTCAGTAAATTGTCATCTTTAAAGTCCCTCTTTGAGCCTTGACTCCGTCTGCGCTGTTTGGTCCCTGCCTTTTTTGCTTTACATTCTCCATCACCATCTCTCTTCCTCCTCTTCCTGCGCAGTCTTCGTCTCTCCGTAGACCTCCGTGTAGATAAGAGACTTGCACACGTTGTTGGATATTCCTCATCTTGCGTGTCTTCTTTCTCTGATATGTGTTTGCGTTACCGTGCCGACACAAAAGGAGCAGTGCATGGTGGTGTATCTTGTGGGAATCTAAATATCAGACTGCTTGAGCGCGTCTCGTAGTCACAGGATACCACACTATCTGCTTTCATGTGTCGACTTGATTTATTACCAGGGCTTTTCACAGACCCGGGATGAAAGCAAACAAGTGCGGAGCTGGAGAGGAGCCCTGGTGACGTTTTGCCTCTTTAATAAAGCTGTCTGTCTGCGTGGGGGAAGTACGCTGTGTATAGGGATAGGGCTTAGGTCAGGATGTAAAGTTTTTGCGTACCAGATGAGGTTTCGGTGGTTTGAAGTCCCAAAAGTGGAGGAAGCAATTCAAATCTTCACAGTCAAGTTGAATTAAAAGCATGGTATTATTCAAGCTGTGGAAAAGTGGTACTGTAGTTAAAGTATGAAAGTAGGTAGAAAGTATCCTTGGCTACTGCAACCAAAACCGCTAAGAATTCAATAACAGAACAATAATAATAATACTGGTACTATATTTGCTCTTACTGCTACCACCAGCATTCTGACTACTATCAGGCCTAATCATAGGTTTCAGCTTCCAATTATCTGCTACACTGTGAGGACTTTTCATTTTTTTTCTTTTTATTCAAATTCTTCCTTGCTAATATTTCTACATCACTCTTAAACCAATGGTCCAGCAGAGGGCAAGACCTTCTTCTATATCAGATTCTGAATTGAAGTTTCAAGTTTCAAATGTTCATGTAAATCTGTCTATTATTTTGAAGCTGTAATTTTATTTATTTATTTTTTTTGTGGTTGATAACTCCTTCACCTGTTATGATACAAGCAATCTTCCAATTCTCCAGCCCTCATACAGGTACTACAGAAAAGAGGATATGAAAAATGTTTTAGTTTATCTATTCTGTTCTTCTGTGCTGTGTATTGTAACCTTGACCTGTTAGAATTAAATCAGGGTCAAGGAGGCGGTCCTAAAATCATTCCTGTTCACTGTCATGACAACCATCAGCCAATCAGAGCCCAGTGTGTAACGACTCCATTATCTAGTGTCATACATGCTCCTGAGCCCAGAGGCAAACCTGAATGACAGACATGTAATAGAAAGTGATGTTAATTAACCTCTACCTGGCTGCTAATTGTGATTAATGTAATCAGAATTTTGTAAGAATATAACAACAGATGAACAGGAGAAAGAGGGTTTAATGACACGTTTTTAGAAAGAGACAAAAGTGCCTCTTCCTAATGCTGTTTGAAACCTATTTGAAATGCTTTTTGTGATTGTCATTTGGTTTGTACTTTTGTGGAAGATGAACAGTCAAAGATAATACCTTTTCTGTTAAGTTTTGGGACGAAAATTGAAATGCTGCACCGTTTTCCTTTTTGTGACAATTTTGGCAAAAGGGGTTCTTTTGTAGAAGTGTGTATGAATTTGTCTGATGGATGGACTCTGCAGAGACTAAAAATACTAATAATGAACTTGAAAATATAGCTTAAATAACCTAAATAAGTGTGTACAAATATGATAAATGCCACCATAAGGTAGTCTTAGCTATATCATCAATCACATTGTAAGAGCACATTTTGTTTTTGATATTATGATATACATTTTAGGCTGTATTTCACTGTCACAATATATTGGCTCACTTCCTGAGCTTTATCGTATTTTCATAAGGGCCTGTCAGCAGATTAGCTGTTATCGAAAATGTAAATATGACGCTAATCCATATCTTCTATAATGGCAGTTGTTGACCTTTTGAGTAGCACTTAGTAGGTATAGTCCAGTCTCCTCTGTCTGTCCCATCACTGCAGCCGGACACCACGCCTAAAGCATAACTGTAGTGAGTGGGGCTCTTTATTACTGAGCTGTTGACAGGTGGGTCAGTACACTGCACTTCGAAAGCCTGGGCAACTTTAATGGCTATAATAACTCATTCTCTAACCATTGGGGCTATATAGAACAAGAAGCACCTTCTTCAAGCACACATAAGAGTTTTAAAGATTATTACTGTTAGTGAATCATGCTTTTCCCTGTTCAAAATAATCCTAGGTAGCAATCAACACAAAATTATAGTAATAGTTGCTTTATATTAATACCTTAATATGTTCTGGTCTTAAACTAGCTTTTTTCTGTCTTTACTTAGTCAATTGAGTATCTAGTTTTTTTTTAGTTTTATCAGTAATTATATGTGGCTATCGATGTCCTTCAATTGAGACCTATGGTGACTCAATTGAAATAAATTGATTATACAAGGGCAAATATTTTTACTGCATGTGTGCGTTAAATTATGCACTAGTTAATATAATACACATCACACTGTTTTACATAATTTATTAAAACACTACTACTACTTTTATCCTTTTGCCACACCAAGGATGACAGCTAAGGTCTTTGTTCAAAGTAACTACAAACCAAAAGCATCACAAGACATTAGTGTTTTTCTCCTAAACAAATGAGACACATTATTTAGGTTGGATTCTGATCAAAATGCATTGTGGCTGCTGTTGTGTGTGTTTCATTCCCAAATGATGAAGTGTAATATTGCTTTGAGCGGTTCATTTGTCTCATTTAAAAAGTGCTTTTATGTGCTTAACTGTCTGGAAGGCAACAATAGAGCATAAGTGAGTGCTGTCCACAGTATGGCTTTATACGTGCATAGCTCCATGGAGACAAATAAGTGCAGTCAAAGTTAAATCTGTGGAGAAAGGATTCCTCTCCTCCATTCCAGCAAAAACAATAACATCTGACGGAGACAAACAGGTGGCAGATCTTTCTCCCACCACCAATGTAAAAGTTACATAGTGCACCTTTAATCGCCAATGGTTACTATACATTATATTTAATTCTTAAAATAAACTTTGATTCAAAGCTCCTTTCCTGTTGATTCCTTCTATTAGACATAAAATATCAGATAACGTGATGATCTCTCCATGCTCTAACCCCATTTTCACCTTTAGACTTACCTTCAAATTTTGCTTTTTTGTGCAAACCCAATAAACCAAAGAACCATTGTGGGTCCTTGGAGGCACTGCTTTATTCCATTGCTATCGATCTCATTTCAAGATGGAGGCCACAGGTTGGGTCATGCAATGAACATAAGACATATTTCCTGGAGGGTAAATGGTTTGTTACAGAAAGGCTAAGTTCCGTTTGCAGTGTCCCCCAGGGAAGATTGGTTAAATATTGAGCTTTACCTTCAGACCTCCTTTGCACCCCTCCACTCCCCTCCTCTCCTGCCCCATAAAACACTGGAACACAGGAGGAATTAAAACATAATGCAAAGGGCTCTCCGCTTATTGCCTGTGAGTTTATTGATGAGCTGTCACATTAACTAGCTTTAGGGAAGAGTTATGGCAACAATTTCTAATAGTAGTGTTGGACAGAGGCAGAAAAATCATTACATCCTGGGGCCCCTGATATGAATTATGAGTTAATAGCAATTTCAATTCATTTCATCTCAATGAGGAAAGATAATCATGGCTACCACTGGAATAGCCAAGTTAAGTAGCAGGCCACACTGGTGTAGAATGTTGGCTGGAAATAACATGATGTGAATTTGCAAAATAAAGTGTAAAGACATGTTTCAAAATGTCTACGATCCGATAATAAGGGGAGTCCTATTTAGTGTTTCCATTGATGTATATTCTGTATGTAAAGTTGTTGTATAATCACATGATATGTTGTCATCTACTGAGATATATGACATAATGATTGACATGTTTGATGGGCTGTCTCAAGTCAAATGAATTCCTGTGATTGATGATGTTGCTAAT